AGTAACCCTCTCACATGGCGGGGGTGGCAATGTGTAGCCTGCACAATTAACTTGTAAACCACCCAGAGAGTGCTTAAAGCGCTATGGGGCGGTATATAAGCAGCACGCTTTTTTCATGTCCTTTCACTAAGTCACTAGTATAATTTCAGAAAATCCCTGCATTTTATTAATATTGAGAATTCTAAAGTCAAAGCAGGTGCTTGTATGGATGTATTAGTAATTGGTTTGTGAATACACCACACAACAGAACAAGGCCACAGGTTTTAAACTCTGTGCCTGGCTGTGCATTGTTCAACATACCTGGTATTCATATTGACCTCAAGTGTTTGCATGATCAAATAATACCCTGTTCCATGACAGCTCTGCTGAGAACTAAAGTAACAAACAGTGTTACTTCATGTGTTGCAACAAACAGTTTAGGCCCAAATAGAGTGGCAAAATATTGTAGAAACGATGGCATTAGTATTCACTGAAAATAGTTAAGAGTCAAGTTCCCCACTACTACTGTTTTCTTTAAAGAAATTCCATTGAGAACTAGGGATGAGGGTAGTAGAAATGGAATACTGTGAGACCCGAGTCGAGGCTATAGAAGTCCTCGCCAGAGTGTCGTTCTCAGTTAAAAGAGAGAAGGAGACTCAGACAGCATCCACGACTACTCGCGTCGTGTTCAGACATCAGGGTGTAGACACTAGCCCAGGTAAGAAACGGAGTTGAGTACCCGGTGTTATATTTGAGTAGAAAACTTTCACCGAGAGAACAAAAGTATGCAGTGATAGAAAAAGAGGCCCTGGCCATAAAATGGGCCACTCATGCCCTACGTTACTAAATACAAGGAGCTCCCTTTACTCTGGTAACGGATAATGCCCCCTTGCAGTGGTTGACCCGCATGAAAGAAACGAATCCACAACTTACCCGGTGGTACTTAGCCCTACAACCTTTCGCGTTTAGTGTTCAATATTGCAAAGGAGCCGGGCATGCTAACGTAGATTATTTTTCTCGGCAGGGGCCTTGGGCCAAGAGCGAAGAGGAGAGGATGACCCTCTTGGAGGGGGGGTATGTGAGACCCGAGGCGGGGCTATTGAAGTCCTCGCTGGAGTGTCATCCTCAATTTAAAGAGAGAAGGAGACTCAGACAGCGTCCACGACTACTCGCGTGGCGTTCAGACATCAGGGTGTAGACACTGGGGATTTGGAACAGGGGGTAAAGAAGATGTTGGTAGCTACCCA